CTTTTAATTCACAATTGTTAACGGCCGTTACCAGTGTGCGAACCGCCGGTACTATGTTGGGATCAACATTGTAGAACCACGTGCAAGTTAGTGGCGGCTCCGTATTGGAAATAGGTTGGTAAAGTGCATCCTTCAACAGCACTATGTTTTCTTCATCAACTGTCGCGTCGCCATGTTGCGTCTGAGCATGTCGTGGCATTTTAAGTATAACTTGATTTTGGAAACCTGGTAACATACGGTAAAACGTACCAAATTTAATTAAATGCATTAAAAAACGTTAAATTAACGCCACAGCCACCAAATTTACAACGAAAGGAGCACAAAACGAACTGCCCAAAATAGATTTGTAAACAACCTGGGATCGAACTGTTGGGGCCGCACATGCAAAATGCAACGGCGTTACATTTTAGTAAAGGCGAATTTATACAAGGTGGGTTAATGGCGAATTTAGATTTTCGCCGTGGTACTTCCTAATGTCAGAGAACATTTAACAATGTTAACAATGTTAAATGTTAAATTTTCTCTGACAATACGACACCGTTGTGAATCCCTCATATGCTTACCTTTGGTTCATTTCAGAGAAAATAACATGGCGCCGACATTACAAACGTCAGAAAGAAAATTACTTTTTTCGTTTGCTTCATCTTGTCAGATCTTGTGTAGTTGGATCATGATTCAATAATACAAGGTTCGATAAACTGACAGTTGTCTCTCTCGCACCGCTCCCTTNACTGATGAAAACGTAAGCATTGGATGTTTACATCAATCTCATAGTAGTCTTATTTTATTTTTGAGGCATTTCGCAGTTTTTATACGGCTAAATAGCATACAAATTACGTAATTCACGTAGATATATCAATATTACGTTCAACATTTCGTTTAAAATGCCAGATTTCCTGCAAATACATTAGAATTTACGAAAGGAATTTCACTATTAATTGCCTACTTTGAGTACTTTTCTACTACCATTTTCGCAACAAGGGATTGCATTCTTGCCCTTTCTGTGTCCTTCGTAAATGCAACATTTTGTAAGGGAGTGTCAAACCGCAGCTGTCAATAATTATCTAACCTTGTATTATTGAATCATGTAGTTGGATCATGTGTGCAGCCTACGTCAATTCAAATCGATTTTGAAAAGCAGTAGGTGTGATCAACTAGAAAAAAAGTTATTGATCGTGTAAGCTCACAGTAATGAAATGCGGTGAAGACCGCTTATGGGATTGCAACACTGCGGCTATTGGAAATTTTTTGACGTTGCTTTTCTCAAAAATTCGCATTATTTATTTGGTGTTGTTTTGCAGTAATTGTTTGTTTTAGCATGTCAAACTCCAGTAGAAGTCGTACTCCTTTAAAAGGTTTCTAAATAGAAATTATACCTATTTAATTATCTAATGTACACTGTACTTTACAGGTTCAATGATAAAGGAAGATTCACCTGAGGATGGATTGTATTCATTGGAGAAATTGCGCACATCTCCCGAACTGTGGCCTGAAAAGAGTAGGTTTTTTACTTTTTGTATTAAAGGTGTTGCTTAGGAAATTTCGAAATGTACATATTAAGTATTTAGAAATTTTTTATACAATAAGCTGTAGCATTACAC